TAAGCGTGGAGTGCGCTTGTGTCTTCTTGAAGATACAGGATTCCCTTCACTCAAAGGGCTTCTTTTCTTCACCATTAATGGAGTACTCTCAATGATGGAACTGAATGAGACTGCCTTTGACTTTTGTTCCATGCCCACAACTTTGGACGTGGAAGGCAGTGAGTCGCTTTTAGATCTTTTGCGTCGTCCCCCTCTCAATGTGGGGTTTGCCGATGGAACAGATCTGATTGCACTGGGCATCTTCTGTAACTCGTCCCCATTCGTTGCCTCGTCTTTCAGTGCAGAACAGAGTGAATCATCACCTTGTTTCTCTGGTTCCATCTGTGTCACTGCTACCAGCTCTGGTTTCACAACATTCTCTTCGATTACTGTACAATCGATTTTGTCGGAACAGGACGGGTGGGGAGATTCATCCGGGTCTTGTTCTACCACTGCTGCCTCGTTCTCGAGCACAGACGGGAGTGGATTAGATCCCGCATATTCGGCGCTCAAGTCCGTACTGGGAGAAGTCTCTTGTGTGCGCTGCTGATGATGCATATTTGGGTTAAACAGACCCAAGACCTTGGAAGGCGTGTCTTGATCCGATTCAGGCAATATTGCCAACTCTTTCACTTGGCTTACTCGAATGAGGACCAGACCGGGCGTAATAAGCAGTGGGCCGTGACCGGGACGCATTTCCGCTCTGCTCTCAACTGTGCCGACATCGATATGGGTTTCCCCACTGTGGCCGAAAATTAGAATGAGAAAGGAGTGTTTACCTAGCTGGTTGTGATTCTTTGTGTTATAAATCGGCTAGAAAGCGATAACAAATACTAAGCAATAGAACAAAAGATAAGAGGTTCTCAGGATGTTTTAATCCACCCAAACTCATTCAATATCAAAGAAGTTGTTAGAAAAGTCCGCGGTACAGCCTCCAGAGACCGGCAGATGTTAGGAGAATATAGATTATGAAGGTTTAAGTATATGCGGCAGCATTCTGGTCAGTGCTGATGTACGGTGGCGAAATTGGGTCATTACGAAAACAGAATATAGATAAACTACTAGTGTTCGAACACCGCTTTTCCTGCATCCGGTGGGGTGACCGGACAAGCAATGCCGAGGTCGGGTGCTGAGTTTTGTGCGGTAGCGGTCGCCATGACACACGATGTTTGCCGAAGCACGTAATGGGTGGGAAAAAACCAAGAGTGGAAAAACTAAGGCCTGATATGAGGGTGTAAAATCCTTACCAGGGTACTGGGTCATATAGGTCGCATCAGGATCTCTGGATTGGGACCTCGGGATCATTATAGTCAATGGTGATGGCCCTGTAATAACGTGAACGAAAGTATCACTCCGGAGGAAGTGTATTCGAATCCTATCACCACCGCATGGCTTTCTCCATTTGTGTGTTGTATGGCAGATCTTTGAGTATCCACTTCCTCCATGAAAATTGCATCACTGTGTATTAAATAAAAGGAAGGAAAAAGATGCTGACGGATATGGCCAAGTGTCGTCAACAGCGGTGTTTGTGAACCTACTCATCACCTTTGCAACCGTAGTCTACCGAAGTTCTCCACTTTCTTTTCCCAATCTTCCGTCTCCCCATTCATCCAAATGGGTAACCAAAACCGGCACACGAAGGTGTATGGTTAAGGGCTGTACAAAGAGAACTGAACTGAATGACTTCAACTACCTGCCCTTTGGTGATCGGATGGGCACCAGAAGATTGACCGAATACGACCGTACTCGATCAATCTGGATATCACTGGTGTTCATCGAGAAAACCTAACAAGGATGTTAGGCAGACGAAAAGTTCCCTTACCTACTGATAGAGACGTAATATCAGTGCTCATATTGCGCAAATGCATGAGAGGGGCATCTAACAGTTTCAACTGTCCTGGGAGACGGAGAAGTTGTCGCGATTGGAGAGAATCAAGGACCGAAACAGAACTTAATATTTAAATCCCCGTTCA